TAAGATCCATTTAAAGGATTTAAAACCCAAATTAAAACAGTCGGAAGAAGCCCTGTTTTATTTTTCGAATTAATGCAAGATAAAGAAGCAGAAACAATTTCATTATTTTGTTGATGAATATTAAATACCGCTGCTTCGGGATTGAGGTCATGACCGTGAGAAGAAGAAGCCAAAACCGCAGAGTTGTTTATAGTTTCGCGTTCTTTATGGAGTAGTGTATTATGCTTTGAGTGGCATATGTAGCATAAATGTTTCGATTTGCAATTCAATAACTTGTGTTGACTGCTTAGACAATTTAAACACAATTTATGTTTTGATACCAGCTCACTTCTCTGATGACTATTCAATTTCAAAAAAGAATCGCACTTAAAGATAGGATGATTCATTTTACACAAAATGCATGATTGAGTTACACTTTTATTAATTAGAAATGTTTTCGTTTTTGGATTTCTCTCTTGACTTAACTTAAATCTTAAAGGAGTGGTTTTGCTAACATTTTCTAATATTTGAGCTCGTTTTTCCAAAAATGAAAATAAATCATCTAATTTAGGAACATCGTTTGAGCTAATATTTAATTCATACTGCCTTCGAGTTTCCCTATCCAATTTTTGAAGTACTATATTTAAAACAAAAATATCAGAAAGATCATTGCGATTATACTCCAAAATTTTTAATGCTCTTATATTTTTCTTTACACAATCAATTAAATTACGTAAGTCTTTAGCCGACTCATGCGTTAATTTTTCAATATCTAATATTGATTTAACGTGAGATTCTACTATTAACCTTTTGTTTTCGTATCTTTCTTCTAAAGCTGTATATAATGAAGTGAATGTATCATCTAATGTAATAAGATTTTTAGCTTCTCCGATTAAAGCTGAATTTAAATAGTGTAGTTTTTGTGCATTTGTCAACTGATTATTGGATGTAATAACATTATTGAATTGCAATTTGAAAGTACTCCATTCTTCACATTTACCCGAAAATTTCGGAAGCGGAATTTCTGGTAATTTTATGCTATCACTATTGTTTACAAAACTTGCGGGAGTTAATTTCACTTGATTAACTGATTCTATATAGGTTAAGCAATTTTTAATTTTGCACTTAGCACTGATGATTTTTTCGCTGTATTCTTCGCTAGCGCTAATTTCAGTATCGAATTCTGCTGGAACCGAAATTAAGTTTTCAATTTCAGAATTTAATGATGTCAAAATACTCTCCTTTTGACTTAATTGCTCAAATATTTCATTTAGTTCTGTTATTTCTTTAGTGTCACTTTGTATTATATTATCTGCTTTTGTTATTAGTTTTGTAGCACTAGTTCTGATTGTAGCGCGTTTCTTTCTACATTTCTCAATGTTATCCATTATTTATTAAATGAAATTATGCGGTAAATAAATAATGAAAATTTGCCTACCTTTCACTAATTCGATGGCTGGAGATATACTGCGTTATTTCTAGTGCGATGCGTGGTCAGTCCAATAATAAATGAGGGATTTTTATTGTAAATTTGCGATATACTGGATCTTTACTCTCCTGATCATTCGGACCAGATGTTCTGCGATAGCTTGCGGGGTGTATAAAAATCAAACTTGGACAATGTGGACTGTATAAAATTTATTTTGCGGGTGCGCTGGTAGCGCTGCGGAGATGCAAAAACTGAGCGTGTTTGCTCTTTGGTTGTTTTACATTAACTGACTCTTGGCTGAGAACAATGGCGCCAAGAAGCCAACGGGCGTAGCAACAATNCATACGCTATATATGATGGCCAACATTGGATTTGTTGGAAAAAGGTCCAACAAAAAAAACACTGTGATGCTCGGCATATTTCTTTGCCCTCTAGCAATACCTCACCATGGATTGCTTTACCAGATGTAGTAATGAAAATTAGCGTGAGTTTTGTCTTAAAGGCTACCAACTCCACTGGTAGTATAACATTGTGATCATTGTAGATATTTAAAACAATTTCATTGCCTGCAGCTTTTGCAATTAATTTACCATCTTCTGGAACTGTTACTATGGGGTCATTGAAAAGTAAAGTAATGTTATTTTGCGTGAATGACGCGGCTTCATACTCTAATAACTGACGTCGGTGATGGCGCGCTGGTATTCTATGTAGACATATAGGAACGGATATCAGGGTTGGGTTTGTAAGGAAAAGGGAATCCGAGGAATGTTGCAAATCATATTGCAAGTGCTGAACGTTGCATTCACAAGTTGAATTTAAAGCACATGTTTTCAACTGGCAAAATTCCTGGGTTCCCGTGTAGTTTTGGGCACAATCACATGGTATTGATGTGTCGGAGCGCTTGTTGGAACTGTCATGGCATTGGAAGTATGAAACATTCCCAGCACGTGAAGATGGCTTTTCGTGGAATATTGTCTGGACGAAAAGTTGATCCTCTGACCAGATAAACGTTTTTAGCCCTAGAAGACATTCATTGCAATTTTCAAGGTGGCATGCGTTTTCTGGGAAATCCATTTGGTCTGTAAGATTTTGAGATGCCTTTGTGCATGAATATCCAGCTGGGGTATCTCTCTGGCATATTTTAACAGCTAAGATCTGTGCTCCAAAGTAGGAACTCCAAAGTAGGAAAAGAATGATTATTCCTATAATAAGGGATAGAATGTGTGGTCTCCTTATTTAATTAAATTATGTTATCTTATGTAATTTTTTTTTGTATTAACTTATTTAATAAAGGCATGATTCTATAATGGAAAAAATTGCGTTGTGTAAAAAAAAAAACATTTTTTTTTAAAATTATATTTTATTTTAGAATAAAATGTATTGATATGTAATAAAAAAGTTAGGAATTTTTTTAAGTTGTTACCGCCGGAAAGCTGGATAAGGAGAGACTACTATCTCAATAGTTTGAGTGATTTTATATATGTAACATAACAAGGAAACTATAAAATTTATGAAAATAAAAATTTAGTGCTAATAATAGAGATTAATCAAGAAAAACCAGGGAGAAAATAAAAAGTTAAAATTAAGAAAAAAAAAAAAAACTAAGGCATAAAATTATTAAAAAAAATATCTGCTCAATTGATTATCTTTTCTTTCTTTTCTTTTCCTTCTTTTTCTTTTTTTTTTTTGAAAAAAATTTTTTTTTAATAATTTTTATAAATACTTATGATAATGTCTTGAAATGTTCAAGAAGTTGTTTTACGCCAGCGTAACACATCTCCTTGAACAGTAAAATATCATAATTTTCTTTTTTGATCAAGGGTAAGTTCGGCCGTTACGTACCCAATTTCGATAAAGGTATTTACACAGATAAAAGTTCTTTCAAGTTACGTAGAAAAGAAGATTTTTTTTCTTGTTATCCACTAGAACTTTAAATTTTATTTGTGAATTTTATTTAAATATTATCCTTTTTTTTTTTTTTTTNTTTTTTTTTGAGAAATATTTTGAGAGGGGAAATTTTTTTTTTCATTAAATCAATATGAACGATAATATATTCGCGTTTTCTGAGGTTTGTGAAATAGCGTATTAATAGTAGTATCATGTTTCGTTTGTAGGTCCATTAGTTTTACGGCGAGTGCATCCGACATTTTGTCAACAATATTCTTGTCCGCTTGATCCTTATCTCCTGTGATTGCGCAATTCAGAAATCTATCCGTAATCGAAGTTTTTTGACTAGCTGACTTGGTTTCATCAGTCTTAATTGCTCAAGGCCGTAAATCATATCGACTATGAGTTGGATTATTTGCAGAAGCGGTGTTGTTTCTGATGTCTGCGGCTGCGCAGTTAGGCGTTTTATTGTTTGTTATCTCCGTTGGTAAAGTCCTTTGCACCTCAGTGGAGGAGGAATTTTGTGGATGGTGATAAAGGGGAATGTAATCATCAGTTTCACTCTCCTCGTAAAACAAATACGAATTAGTAGCTGTTTGACTATTTAAATTCTCTATATTTGATGTAGGCTGATCTTGATGATTAAGAGAAGGTAAAATCATATCAGCTCGTCTTTCAACAAAGGGAAATAATCTATCAACATGACATCTTAAAGGTTTTGCACGGGTTTTTTTTTGTATCAACTATTGAGTAATTTAAATCTGAATGTTTTTCTACTATCCGATAAGGGCCTGAAAACTTCTTTGCAAATGCCTTTCCAGTAGATTGATTAGTACGTGGTGTAAAAAGGTACACCTTTTGTCCTAAATGAAATGATTTTTCTTGCGCAATATTTTCACGAAGTCGAGTCTGTTTTTCAGCAGACATTTCGAGATTCTTATAAACATTACGATAAACAAACTGCAATTTAGATAATTTATCCTCTATGTAATTTTTGCATGGAAAATAGTGAATTTGGGAGTTTTCGTCTAATATATGAAAAGGTAAGTTAAGATCACGGTTAAACATAAGAAATGAAGGTTTTTCATGAGTAGTATCATAATGAGAATTATTGTAAATGAAGTTATAATAATCTAAATATGTGTCCCAATCAGTTGTCTTTCCCGACAGGCAAGTTAAACTTGATTTAATACTTAAATTCAATCTTTCCGATTGAGAGTTAGTTTGAGGTCTGTAAGGTGTAGTTTTAAATTTATGAATTTGTAGTTGGCGTGAAAGTTCATTAAAAAGATTACTTTGAAAATTTGTCCCTAGATCTGTTAATATTGCATTAGGAATGCCAAAAATTATGATATATTTCATAAGTTTATTAGCAATTGTTTGAGCTGTAATATCTTTTAAAGCGTAAAGAATGCTATATTTAGTAAAGTGGTAGATAATTGTCAATACAAATTTATTTCCTGACATGGACATTGGCAACGGTCCTAAAATATCTAGGCTCACGAGTTCCATTGACTGAGAGGGTGTCACAAAATTTTGAAGAGGTGATTTAGTTATTGGAAAACCTTTTCGTTCAATGCATAATTTACATGAGTTGGAAATTTTTTTAATATCATTGTACATACCTGCCCAGTAATATTTTTCTTTTATAGTACGGTAATTTTTTGAAAATGCGAAATGCACTGTTTCGGAACCTTCTAATACATGAGGTATTAAGCTTTTTGGTATCACAATTTGTTCAAAATATTCATTTCGTGGTGCACGTTTGTTCCTATTGGCAATTCTTTTAAGTAATCCATTGTTCAAAAAATAATTATCGCATTGCGATTTACAATTAGCACTTTTACCTTCCAAATAGTCAATGATAGGACTTAAAATTGGGTCTGCTCTCTGTTCATATTTGATTTTGTCTATATCAGGTACATCAACTTTTCCAGCATTTATTGTTTCTTCTATATCTCTTGATAAGAGATCTGATAAAAAATTTTGCGAACCTTTTATGTGCTCGAAATCAAAGTCATAATTGGAAAGTTCTATAACCAACGCGAAAGTTTACTAGCTGGTGAATCTAAGTTTAATAAATAGTTTAAAGATTTGCAATCAGATAATATTCTAAATTTTCTACCATAGAGAAAAATCTTAAAATGTCTAATAAACAGCAAAATAGCATAAGCTTCAAGATGCATAGATGGCCATTTTCTCTCATGCGGTTTTAATTTATAGGAAAAATAACTTATTGGACGTAGAATTCCATTTTTACCTTTTTGTAGAATGACTGCACCTACTTACAATTAAAGGGTACAATTACGTCATCTATGTATGCTGATATGTTTTCGGACTGTAGAACATTAAGGATTTTGTCCGCTGTTTCCTGAAAAATTTGACCTGAATTTTTCATTTCAAAACTTAAATATTTATATTGAAAGTTGCCATATGGGCTTGAAAAAGCAGTTAAATGCTTGTCTTCTTCGCATAGTTTAATTTAATGGAAATTAGAATTGGCATCTAAGGTACTAAAATAATTTGCGCCTCACAAGGAGTTTAAAATGTCGGAGATTAAAGGTAACTTAGAAGTTGAAGAAATTGTAATTTGATTCAGTTTACGATAATCTATTACTAAACGCCACTGGTTCTCTTCTTTCTTTCGAACTAAAATTAAAGGAAAACTATATCTGCTATTTGTTTTCTCAATTATGCCCGAATTTTCTAAGTCTGAAATTTTACTTTTAAGTGTGTCACGCAAGGATACTGGCACCGGGAAAGGTCTACATTGAATTGGGGAAAAGTCAGTTATTTCTATTGGAGGAGCTTCTAACGTGCATTTTCCTATTGTTTTTAAGGAAGTGCTAAATATGTCAGCATATTCGAAAATCAAATTTGATAATTCCTGTTTTGCTTCGTTTGGACTTCCAGTCATATCAAAATCTTCTAACTTTAATTCTTTTCTCCTAATATCAGCAATAGATTCATTCTTGTTAGCTTCAATTTTAGAATTTATGTAAGCGATTTTCATATTTTTATTTAAATGCAAATTTGTTTTTGAGAGGTTATTTATTACTAACGGGATTTGTCCATTTTTATCAACCATGCACAGCGATTTATGCACTTCAACGTTGTAATTTAGATTAATAGGTGTCAATAACACAGAACTTCCTGGTTCAATATTATGATTAGATTTAATTTTAATTACGGCTGATTCATTTGGCTTAAGTTTAACCTTTTCACAAGTTTACCAGTAGTTTTCATTAATAATACGTTAATTTTATGCACTCATAATTTATGTATTTGGGAGGATGAATCACTAAAAGTTACCATTTTATCTTCAAAGTTTATTTTACACTGAAATGAGGAAAGAAAATCGAAACCTAAAATTACATCGTAGTCCTGGTCAAGATCTGACTTAGTGACTGTAAAATTATGCTGCAAAACTTTGTCTGTAATTAAGAATGATAAGGTAACATTACTATTAGACTTTATTTCATTTCCAGTTAAAGTAGTAATTTTGATATTAGGATTAAAACTATTAAATGTGATTAATTCGGAAGGTATTTTTCGAAATGCTTTATTACTTATAAGAGATACACTTGCTCCGGAGTCCAAAAGAGCATAAAATTTTATATTTCCTACTTTTAATTGGATTACTGGTAATGTGCAATGTTTTCCTAATTAATAAGATAAGTTTGTATCATTGTAACCCCCTAAATTTTGAGAGAACTGTGGGGGTTTTATCGTTCCCTCTGAAAGTTTAAATAACGTTGCTTTGGAAAAGTCTGTCTGCTATCTGCAGAAGGTGTGGGATGGGTCATTGAACTCGATTGAAAGGCGCGAGTGGTGTTAGGTGCATTATTGTATTCCTGTCGCTTGTAATTATTATTATCCCTATGAAAAGAGGTACGTTGATTATCTGAAAATTTGCGCCTAACGCCTCGAATGTTTTGATTACGTTGAAACCAACATCGATCAGATGCATGATTTAGATGACCACAGTGGATACACTTTTGATTTCTTTGTGGCATTTGTTGGTGAAAACCTGGATTTTGTCCTCTTATATTTATTTTCTCGATTTGTTTTGCGAGATTGCTTATCATCGCACTTGAAATTTCAGTCTGCTTATTAAGAAACTCGGTCATTTTTCTTTCGAGTCCCGTTTCTGATTCCGTCGCAACATTATTACAGCTTTCTGGATCACAAGTGAATTTCAAATTCATTTCATCCAATAGCGCACTTTCTACAGCTTCATCGAACGTATTTGGGTTTCTGCTTAGGGCTAAACGCTTAAGAGGTGTTTGCAAACCCTCCAAAAATTTTGCCAATTTTGTTTGGTCGACTATAGGACCCGCATCTTCCTTCGATGAATTTTCTATCCCGAAATAATTTATAGTCAAGTTTGAGACTCTTGTCGAGAAACTGCGAACGGATTCACCCGGATTTTGTTTACAGTTTGAAAATTGCTGCTGACGATGGGAAAGTGTTGTTTTGCTTTCAAAAAATTTAGTGAATTTTATTTTTATGCTGTCAAATTTTTTTTCATGAATTAGTTCAGGGTCTTCTATGAAAAACTGTAACGCGGGACCTTTTAACTTACTCTTCATTACGGCAATATGTTCCGCATCGTTCCATTCCGCGATTTCACCAACCTCTTCAAGATTTTTAAGGAAATATTTAACATTTGAAAATAATTCTCCATCGAATATGTTTACTAAATTCTGATATCCAGCGATCTTATTTGGGCTTGGGGGATCGGACATTTTAAAAAAATTCTTGTATATGTATATTATTTATTTAAATAAAGAAAGAATCTTAACAGTAAATACCATTTTACATAAAAAACAGAGAACATAAAAGAATTACATAACACTATCATAACACAAGGATTTGAAAACAAAACAAAAGAAATCACTCAAAAATATTGAAATAGTAAACTCCCTATCCATTAGCATTGAAAACATTTTTGTTAAAGGCACCATAATGTGACGGGTATATATTTAAAGAATATCCAAATTGAAAGTTAAAGTTACATTTTATTTATTACTAATCATTATACATATCAATAAGGAGAAGGAGGACCACACTTACCCATAGCTGCTCGTATTGAGAGGCAATCGGACTGAGGAGACTATTGAGAGGCAAATTCTCTTTCTGAACAACTCCTCTTTTTTTGGAGTTTATTTATATATATTATTTTAAGGGGTTAAACGTGGTCTCGTGTTCTTATCATGCATCCGAAGGTCGACAAATCAATCATCTTGTGACAAATTTCTAGAAAGTTAAAAGTTCAACTGACCATTCGATTGCGAGATGAGAGCACGGGATCTTAATCAACTGTTTAATTAACTAGTTTGACCACGAGAATTATCACGAGGCAACGTCGTGACAATAGGTATGTTTTTCTCATGTTCTGAAGGTGTAACTTTGGTTTAAATTTTACAGCTATTTTAATGCAATAAATCTTCCTCGGATAATTATCATTAAACTTTCAAATCAAAATATCATTAAACTTTTCATTGACAAGTATTACCAGGTCTTAATTACAATTTTATTCTATATAGGTATGTTTTTCTCCTGTGCGACTTAAGGAGAACTTTCAGAAGACCTTAGAAGTTATCAAGGAAAACAACAGAGCCCATAAATTCTGTAGTATTCTCATAAACGCTGAAGAAGTCGCTCAAGAATCTGATTGTATCTCTCTTCACCCTTCCGTGGAAATTTCCCTGAACAAAGATGAGTTAGAAGCTCATTCAATTATCTGTGAGCTAAAAGAAATCATTCATAAAGATAAGCCTGAATATATTCTAATTGATACGATCTTAAAAGCACTTAAAAATAGTTCTATTGAAACACATCAGCAGCTTATTTTACTTCTTTTTAGTATTGATACGGTTAATTTCTTGAATCCCAAGAGCCATAGTTCAAAGGAATTCTTAAAATATTTTATAAGTGATGTTGAATGCTTTTTTAGAAATACAAATGAGATAAATCCTGATAGGATTTTAGATACCCAAGGAGCTTTAAAAATGGTTGAAAATAGATTATTTGATGATACACACAAAGATATGTCAAATGTCTTATATCCGTCTTCAATCTCTTATCTGTATTCAATAGTGCACAGCGTATTATTTGACGAAGGTAATCACTCCGATGATCATAATAGAGAAATCGAAGCTTTAATGTCTGATGCTGTTTCACTAATTTCAACTAGGTTGTTACTGCTGCACAGTGCCTCAAAATCTATTATAGAGAAATGTTTATTGGCACGAAGATCTTCACTAGCTATTGACACAGATGATTCTAAATGCGAAGAGTTTTATTTGCAGCAGTTTAGAGATTGCTACTATATTTTGGACGAGGTAAATATGAACTTATTTGTAATATTTCTTTAAAAAGTGACAATGTTCTTGCTATATCGTGTACCGTTTACAGGGGTAGGGTTAGTAAAGCTTACCTTCTGTGAAGCCCCTCGGTACATATTTCGCCTCTCTATACAGCATTTTTGTCTTGATAGTTCGTTCACCAGGAGTTGACACTTAGCTCCGCCATCATGACGTGGTACGCGAGGAACATTAAATATTTCATAAATCTGATGATATTTCTGTCTTTGGAGTGAAAAAGCTTGTCCTTTTTAAAACATTTTGCTGGGCACACAGCCGTTTTTAAATTTAAACTATATTTAATTAGATAGAGTAACGAAAGGTATAATAACAGATGATGATGCGAAGTAAGTGACTTAATAAGAATTCTCTGTTAGTGTTTGGCGTGCATTAACGGTTGTCTCAATTTCAAGCGCGGAGATGTTTTTCCCTCTTACTTCTACTCTGAAATGAACTCTTCCTCCGAGGAGATGATGGAGCAACAAGTGTCAACTCCTGGGGAACGAACTACACTTTATCAAACGAAACTAATACTAATATAAAATTAATAATTGGTTTGTCCGCCTAGACAAATCGTAAGACATTTGATTTGCTGGCTTTAGAAAACCAAATAATTCACACAGAGTAGGTGGCCCTTAAGCCTGCCAGCGAAAACATAGTGCCACGTTGTTATAATCAGTTTTGCAACTTAGTCCCAGATTGTAAAATAATTATTACAGCAATTTTTTCAATTAAGCTAACTATTAGTTAATTAATGGTTTGGTTGATAAACAATTATCGAAAAAGTACTATTAAATTAATGATTTATCTTGGGGATAATTTACAATTTAATTGAGTTTTAATCAATGAAAATTATATCTTTAAACATTATTTTATCAAAAGTAAAATATTGAATTTATTGGCCCAGACGAAACAATAAACTTGTATTATGGAAAGTACAATTACTACTGCATTGCCATTTATTTTTCCATTTACAAAATTAACTCTCTTGATATACAGTTATTTAAAAGATGGCAACGGCAACTGAAAAGCTTTTTTCGACAGTTTCGGTTCTTCCTTTTAAATAAAAAGAAATTAAAGCTGTAAAGCTCAGGTATTACTTTTTAGTACTTTAGTATTTAAAAGCGTATTTTTCTCCACTAGAATCTGTTATCAATTTTTAAACTTCTGTAAAATTAAAGCAAAGCGGAGTTCCTTTTTATCGTTTATTCAAAACCAAGAAGCGAAAGCTACAGAAAATGAAATTGTTGCCCTGATTGGATAATAAATTGAAATATGAATGCGAAGCTCGATTGGATAAAAACAAACTGAAATAGGGAAAAAAAAAGTTGAGAATCGAATTAATGATTCAATGAACTTGCAATGAACAATGTTTGCTTCTCTTAGCATTAAATGAATCATTAAGTCAAATGAATCGACTCTTTCGAACTGTATCATATCTCTTAACATTAATATTGGCCCAAAGAGTTGATTTTTGTGTCGATTTTTTATACTTTAACATTACAGTATTAAAATAATTCTTTGAGCTGGTTGTTCGACTTATTTGAGCGATTTTATATCTTTTAACATTAAAAAAACTGTTTTGTGACACGAATCGATTCTTTTCGCTATTATCCTATCGTCTAACGTTAATGGGTACTTATGGGGGTTAAGAAGAGGGGCAAGTCATTCTTAGAAAAAGAGGACTTTTAAAAGGAAAAAAAAATTTTGAATATTCAATTCACATCTTAATGTTTTCAATTATAAATATAAGTGTATAACCAGTAATTATGTTACACAGAAAAAATATATATTTTTTTGAATTTTTTTAAGGGGTGGGATGACTTCCTATTGTTAGGTAGTAGGCTACTGTTACCAATCAATCTAAATTAAAACGTTTAAAATCTTATTTTTAAAAAAAAACTATGAAATGTACCTTCACTGGGGTGTGTTCCTTCACTGGTTGGTTTACCGCACATAGTCTTAATCTTAAAAGAAATTTTTTAATCACCTGTCCGGAAGTGTTTCGCATAACTATTTTACCAACTAGTATTTAATTCAATTTTAACATTTTTAAAATTCTTATTCTTTACCCTTCGACGTTTATTATTTCTTCATTATTATACTAATTAATTTTTTTAGTACGTTAATTTAGGTTTTCTTTAACGTAAAATTCCTTTTTAAATTATAGTCTAGTTTTTTTTTAAAAGAATTATTGTCTGCTAGCTAAGAATAAAACCTTGTTAAGAAATCAAAAACATTCCGCTGTTTAAAATTATTTAATGCAAAACAGCTGCTTATTTACTAAGCATACTATTTTTTTCGAAAAAATAACATAAATTATAGATTTTTTTTTTGTGTGACTTCAACATAGATTATCTAAAATAGTGTTGATGTTTTATTAGTCATTACAAAGAGTATAAAGTTACTGAACATAAAACGCTGTCGAATACGTAGCCAAAATTTTTAAGCATCTTAATATATCTCAGTACCTTAAATGACGTCTTAACATCTTAGTTGTGAAATTAAATTTTTTATTAAATAACCACGTGTGATTCACTAATTATTTCATTATATCTTTTACTCTTTATGATACCAAGTAGATTTTTTTTCTGATAATATACTAAACTATTTTGTTTAATTTTTTACTTTAGCATGATTTCCAAGATATTATTGTAGTATAATTTGTTATCAGGAAAATGCCTTATTTTGTTAATCAGGAAATACTAAAAATTGAAATTTGTAAGGATTCCGAAGCTGTGCACACAATACACAATTTCCGACCTTATTTTAATAAAAAAAAATTTTAAAAAAAACGTGGCAAGTAGGCTAACATACTTTTTACAGAAACTGTGAAAACCAATTTTTTCTATATTTCGTCAAAGGAGGATAAGAATGATATTGCTCCAAGGGACATCTCAATAATTTCGCTATTTCCAGAATGAAATCTGTTTGATTGAAACATATATTTGATCGAGTAAAAAATTAACTTTTATTACTTATCTAAGCTTATTCCATTTATTTAATGATAGCGGTATCAATTTTAAGAATATGCGATGGAAGCCCCGTTTACTATTATACTATAAAAGCATTAAATCATATAGCTTGAATAATTTATTTTGAGCAAATTATTTAATAATTTTATGCAAATAAGGGTGTAAAAATAAACTCGATCGAAATACTCTGAAAGTATACCCTAAAATATATGTAGAATAAACTTTGGAATCGATATATAAAAAATAACTTTTCAAACAACTTCGAGTAGTTCGGAAACGCTAGCTTGTTTGAAATATTTGTCCTTGTTACTACTTAATTTCGATTCCTGGTGCTAGGGGACATTCCATTTTCACATTCGACCTTTGAAAATTCAATTATAAACGGAATTTTTTTATGTCCTTAAATTAAAATGTTAAGACTTGCAAAAAAAAAGAAACAAAAATTGCACTGCATTGATATTTTTTACAAAGTATTGAATTATTATTTTTTTTCTATCGAAAAACCTGTGCTTATAACTTTTGTAAAACTTATTTTAATATCGATGGAAATAATTTTATATGTTGTGTAACTAAATGGATAATCCCAAGAAACTGAATCGAAAAAATAAAAGCTTCATTGATTTTAAAAATAATAAATGATAATAAAAATAGACATGTTTTGAGCGTGCAATAATAAAAGTCACAAGTTCTTCAAGTCTGACAAGTCTTGAGAATGGGCGATTATATTTGAACGCTCGAAACATGTCGACTTTTACTTCTCTCTTCATGTTTTTTGAAACCAGCTGAGTTTTTATCTTCAATTATAAGTTATACTGTTTTACATTTGGGTCTTGATCATTAATTTGATAAGGATTTTACACTCGTTAAAGTAAACATATGCATTTTAATATTTTAACAGGATTCATGTGGTCTTTAAAAACATAAGAGCATCAATATTGTAAAAGTTATATTTAACTTTTGAATTAAAATTTTGAGACCAGATATTTTGAGTTAATGAAATTAAAT